TCGATTCCAAATCTGAATTCGCGTCGCCCCGGCCCAGCCGGTGCCCCCCCCCGCAATTCTCTACAACAGATGATGTGCGCGCGCTCGTTTAACAAACATCATGAGTTCCCAGCGATCCCTTGCAAAAGCGGGGCGAAGTGCACGCGCGCGCGTCGTCGCGCGCTTGCGGGAATCTTTCGCAACCTTCGATTTCGGAAGGAATCCAAAATCGAGTAATCAAAAACATAATAAAACCATTGGGTTTCGCAGCGCGGATTTCCCCCGCTAAGCTTGCGCGCGCGTTTATGTTTTTTTTTTTTTTTTGGGGGGGGGGCGGGGGCCTCGAGGTGCTTCGGCGCGAGGTCCTCGTCTTCTCCCTGCGGCCGGCGGCGGGCCTGCAGGCCGCTGGGCGCCGCGTTGCGCGGGCCGTGCTTTCCCTGGCTCAGCGCTGAACCTTCCCGTGGGGCGGCGCTGCGAGGGCGCCGGCGGCGATGCGCGCTCGGGGGCCTCGATGGCCTCTCCCCCGAGGCGCGTGGTTCGACGCGCGGTCGAGCGGCGAGCTGCTGGGCGGCCTCGCCCTGTCGGGGGGCGACCTCGTGATGGCGCGGGTTCGCGACGCAGAGGGCCGGCCCCGTGGCCGCGAGCGAGCTGCTTCGTGTCGAGGTCGCGCGCGCGCTCGACGAGAGCGGCGACGCCGCCGGCGTGGCGCCGGGCCGCTACCTGCGCGCCCAGCACGTGGGGCGCCTCCGACGCGTACTTCAGCTGGCACGCGCAAGCCGTGGGCCTGGCTGGAGGGCGGCCCGCGGGCGCGATCTTCCACCTCTGCGGGTGCGCGCAGGAAGAGTGCTCCGCGGGCTGCCCGATCGGCGCGGGCAGCGTGGAGCACCTCGACGTCTGGCGCCTGGTGGGCGAGCGCGACCGCGAGGAGGTGCAGGCCGGGCTCCGCTTCGCGCCAGCGCCGAGCGGCGGGCTACGCGTGGCCCCCGGCAGCGGCCGCCCCGCGCCCGGTGGCAGCGCTGCTGGCTCGGGCGACGAGGCTGGCCGCCAGGGGCAACTCCCGCCGCCGCCGCCCCCGCCGCCGGCGCGGCCGCCCCCGCCTCTGGGGCCGGCGCCGCGCGTGCAGGACCTCGATGCCGATGAGGAGGAGCGCGGCGGTGGGGGCGCTGCTGGCCCAGGCCGCGTTGCTGGCCCATGGGGCCCTGGCCGGAGCGCGGCGGCGGTCCTCGGGGGGACCCCCCTCGACGACGAGGTGGCCGACCTCGAGCGGTCCCTCTTGGGCCCGGCGCTGGACGGGCGGCTCGCCCAGCTAGGGCGGCGGCTGCGCGGCAGTGTAGCTGGCGGTGGCAGCCGCGCAGCGGCCAAGAATGCACGGGGCCCTGGTGCCGCGCGGGCGCTGGCGCAGCGCGCGCAGGATCGCGCCGCTGCTGGGGGCGCTGCGCGGCCCGCCCCTGCTGCTAGCGGCCGCGAGCGCTGGGCAGAGATGCTCGCGGCGGCTCTGCTTGGCGGCGAGGATGGCGGCGAGCTCGACGAGGAGGGCTCGAGCGCGCTGGGCCGGGACATGTACCGGGGGGCGAACATCAAGCGCGACCTGTTCCAGAAGATCGCGAAGCAGCGCCCCGGGGTGCTGCTGGAGAACGGGCTGGCTCACATCCGAGGCCAGTTCGCCCGGCAGTTGGCCGACGCGGGGACCTCCTCGCGGAATTCTTTTCCCATTATCCCCCCTCCTTCGGCCGTTCCCTTTCTCTTTTCCCGCAATCCCCCCTCCTTCCCCCCCCCCTCCGTCCCACTCCTCGGGCCTTTCTAGAAACAGAATAGGATCTGCCCCCCCCCGGCGTTATCGCCACCCCTTTCGGATATGTAAATCATACATGATTCTGACCACATGTCCACCCTAATTATGAATTCGCAATGTCCCAGGCCAACCGGTATCCCCCCCTGAGGGGCCCGTGTTAAAAAAACACTATGCGGTGACATTGTTTGTTCTCACATAACACTTTTTCACGAATCCCTTGCACAACATGAGACGAAGTGCACGCGCGCGCGTCGTCGCGCGCGCATGCCGAAATCTTTACCTTCGATGCGGGAGGAATTTCGCAATCGAGTTTCAAAACAAAAACCATACAAAAACACAGGGTTTCGCAACACTGATGTGCTAAAAAAGCTTCCGCGCGAGCTCTTGCGAAATCTTAAGAAAACCATAGGTCGTCCAAGATTTTCGCAAAATGCTATTAAACGGGCTTCGCGCGCGCGCATGTCGAAATCTGTCGAACGCCCTTGCGCGTGTGCCGTCGCGAGAATCCTCTGCAAAAAAAGCGGGACGAAGTGCAGACGCGCGCGTCGTCGCGGGCGTATGCCGAAAACCTTCAAAACCCATCGGCTTCGGAAGGATTTCAAAATCGTGTGTCCAAAAAACAGACAAAAACACAACGTTTCGCAACACGGATTTTCAACAAAAGCGTGCGCGCGCGCGCTCTCGCGTCGTCGTCGTCGTCGTCATCGTCGTTGTCGTCGCCGTCCACCCTTCTCCCGCGTCGTCGTCGTCGTCGTCGCCTACGTCGTCCTCTGTCTTTCCTCGTGTTCGTCGTCGTCGTCCTCGTTGGCGTCGTGGTCGTTTCCGTCGTCGTTGTTGCCGTGGTCGTCCTTTTTCTTCCTCCTCGTCGTCGTCGTCGTCCGTCGTCGGCGTCTCGTCGTCGTCCCTCCTATTTCGTCGCCGTCGTCGTCGTCGCCTTTGTCGTCGTCGTCTTCCCTCCTCCCTCGTCGTTGTCGTCGTCCTCCTTCTTCGTCGTTCGCGTCGTCGCCGTCCTCCCTCCTCCCTCGTCGTTGTCGTCGTTGTCGCCGTCGTCGTCCTCCCTCCTCCCTCGTCGTCGTCTTCGTTGGCGACGTCGTCGTCGTCGTCTTTGTCGTCGTCGGCGTCGGCGTCGTTGTCGTCGTCGAAGTCGTCGGAGACGTCGTCGGTGTCGTCGTAGTCGCCGTCGTCGTCGTCGTCGTGGTCGGCGTCGACGACGTCGTCGTCGTCGTCGTCGACGTCGGCGTCGTTCACGTCGTCGTCGTCGTCGTCGGTGTCGTCGTTGTCGTCGTCGAAGTCGTTGGAGACGTGGTCGTTGTCGTCGTAGTCGGTGTCGGCGGCGCCGTCGTCGTCGTTGTCGCTGCCGTCGTCGGCGTCGATGTCGTGGCCAAGTGTCATGTGGTACGTACGGTCACGGTCTTGTCTTAAGAGGTCTTGCGACCAAATTACGGGTGGGAGGGTGGGATGTTTTCACGAGCAGTGGACAGGACATCTTCAAGACGGTCAAATGACTCTACCCCCCCCCGGACTTATCAGCTCCCCTGTCGGGTATGTAAATCATATATGAAATCGTACCATTCCAGCTAGGCCGGGTTCCCCACCCCCTGAGGTTCCTTAGTAAAAAACGCTATGCGGTGACATTTTTTGTTATAACATAGCACCGCGAATCCCTTGCAACAAATGTGACGAAGTGCGCACGCGCGCGTCGTCGCGCGCGCATGCCAAAAAACCTTCAAAAACCTTCCGTGCCGGAGGGGTTTCGCAATCGAGTTTCCAAAAAACATACAAAAACACACGGTTTCGCAACACTGATTTGCTAAACAAGCTTCCGCGCAAGTTCTTGCGAAATCTGAAGAAAACCATAGCTCTTCCAAGATTTTCGCAAAATGCTATTAAACGGGCTTCGCGCGCGCGCATGTCGAAATCTGTCGAACGCCCTTGCGCGTGTGCCGTCGCGAGAATCCTCTGCAAGAAATGTGACGGAGTGCAGACGCGCGCGTCGTCGCGGGCGTATGCCGAAAACCTTCAAAACCCATCGGTTTCGGAAGGATGAAAATATCGTGCGTCCAAAAAACCGACAACAACCCAAGGTTTCGCAACACGGATTTTCAACAAAAGCGTGCGCGCGCGCTCTTGCGTCGTCGTCGTCGTCGTCGCCGTCCTCCCTCCTCCCGCGTGGTCGTCGTCGTCGTCGCCTACGTCGTCCTCTGTCTTATCTCGTGCTCGTCGTCGTCGTCCTCTTTGGCGTCGTGGTCGTTTCCGTCGTCGTTGTCCCCGTGGTCGTCCTTCCTCCTCCTCCCACGTTGTCGTCGTCGTCCGTCGTCGGCGTCTCGTCGTCGTCCCTCCTATTTCGTCGTCGTCGTCGTCGTCGTTGTCGTCGTCGTCTTCCCTCCTCCCTCGTCGTTGTCGTCGTCGGCGTCGCCGTCATTCCTCCTCCGTTGTCGTTCGCGTCGTCGCCGTCCTCCCTCCTCCCTCGTCGTTGTCGTCGTTGTCGTCGTTGTCGCCGTCGTCGTCCTTCCTTCTCCCTCGTCGTCGCCTTCGTTGGCGTCGTCGTCGTCGTCTTCGTCGTCGTCGGCGTCGGCGTCGTTGTCTTCGTTGAAGTCGTCGGAGACGTCGTCGGTGTCGTCCTAGTCGTTGTCGTCGGTGTCGTCGTAGTCGGTCTGAACAGGTTTTGTAAACCAAGTTGCGGGTGGGTGGGTGGGATGTTTGCGCGAGCAGTGGAGATGACGACTTCAAGTTCAGCAGAGTGGACTGCACCACGTAGATTACACCACGTAGGCCGCCCAACATACATTGCACCACGAATATTGCACTGCAGAATTTGCACAGTGTACTTTGCACTACGTAGGTTGCACCATGTGGATATCATCAGCTAGTATACTAAAAACCGTTATGTGGAACCCACGCTAGCTAACATGTTTGTGCTGCCCGCTCGTGTCGGGCGTGCCGCTCCGCCCTTCTGTCGCGCGGAAGTTCGTGAGAGAAGAGCATGCCTGCATCCGCGGCCTCGCGGGCGCGGCCCTGGGCCGCGACCCCACGGACACGGGGAGTCTTTCGTCGCGGATGCCCCGCGCGGAACGTACCAGTGAGGCCGCGTATTCGCAGGACCGCGTTTCAGAACCCAGACCGCCAGGGCGCGGATGCGAATGTGTTCGCCGCTCGTGAGAGCCCCGCGCCCTGCCCTGGCAGCGGCGGACGGCGCCCCCCCTTTTTCGCGCGCGCGGCGCGGTGGCAGGCGAGACAGCAGGCCCTGGACTCGGAGGCGGGCGCCGCGCCGCGTTCGCCCCCCGGCCTCCCTCTCGGCGGTGCCGCGGGGGCCCGGGCGATCAGGCGGGATGGGGGGAGGAGGGGAAATGGGGGAAGGAAGAGGGGGAAGAGGGCGGGTTTCGAGGTTCCTGGAGGAGGAGGCGGAGGAGGAGGGGGCGGACGAAGAGGAAGAGGACGAAGGGGAGGAGGAGGAGGAGGAGGAGGAGGAGGAGGAGGAGGAGGACGACGTGAGGACGAGGAGGACGAGGAGGAGGAGGAAGAGGAGGAGGAGGAGGAAGAGGAGTTGGGAAAGGAGAAGGAGGAGGAGGATGAAAAGGAGGAGGAAGAGGACGAAAAGGAGGAGGAGGAGGAGGACGAGGAGGAAAAGGAGGAGGAGGAGGTCGAGGAGGAATAGGAGGAGGAGGAGGAGGAGGAGGAGGAGGAGGAGGAGGAGGAGGAGGAGGCAAAGGAAAAGGAGGAAGAGGAGGAAACGGAGGAGGATGAGGAATAGTAATAATACAAATGTTAAGAAATACAATCGTATTGATTTTAATATGCATTCTTGTATGAATTCACTTCGTAATGGGAAGACTGCTAGGAATACTGAGAACAATGGTGATAATAGTAATAAGACAGCTGAGAAGCGTAATGATGATAAGACACATGGTAATTAACTAATAATACTTTGAACATCAATATGAATAATATTAGCAAAACTACTGATATGAATGATAATGAAGATACTGATACTACTTATAAGAAGACGCAGACACATACCAACAACACACAAAATACAACTGGTAATGATATAATGATGATGTTAATAATTTGAGCAGTACTCCTAATAAGAAGACTCATAGTGCGCATACTAAAAGTAACGATAACACGCATTTTGCTAGCACGAATTATAATACTACTATTACCGGGGAGAACATGACTCATACGAATACTCATATCCGTCATAGTATTAAGAGACTTACTACTAATAATGATAACCATGTTAGTAAGACTTAGCATGGTACTGAAAGTTATCAGAAGCATGATGCTACTAATGATAATGATAATACTAAAACGAATAAGAAGCATGACACGAAACTTAAGCATAAGAGTGTTACTGAAACTAATAACATAACAATGATATCAATGCTAATACTAGTAGTATTAGTAAGACTAATAACAATAACACCACTAATATTACTAATACTAATAATAGTAACACTAATAATGCGAATAATAATACTATTAATAGTACTACAACTACTACTAATAATAATGATAATAATACTAATAATGGTAGTAATAAGACTAAGCATGCTGGTAATGATAATAATAGTAAGCATGGCATCAGAAACAATATTGGTACTATTACGATCCGTAATAACATTATTAATTATACAAGAAGAATAGTATTATTACTAGTGCACAAGAAGAAGGGGGGAGGAGGAGGAGGAGTAGGAGGAAAAGGCGGAGGCGGAGGCGGAGGCGGAGGAGGAGGTTTAGGTGGAGGCGGAAGCGGAGGCGGAGGCGGAGGCGCAGGTGGAGGCGGAGGAGGAGGAGGAGGAAGAGGAGGGGAAGGAGGAGGAGGAGGAGGAACAGGACCAGTGGAAAACCAAGACGCATCAACGATGTTGCAGTAACATTTCCCACCAAGTTCCCTCTACATGCGTAGGTTCCTACAATACTTTCATTTCATTGCGGGAAGTGCCCCGTTGAAAAACACCGTCTGGGAGTCCTCAGCCAGGACGCCTTTCCTGGGATCTCAACGTCGCGAGTCATCGTGACTGTTGCGTTCCGGTAGTCCTCAACCATGCCTGAAAATCATTCCTGGGCCGTCAACGCCGCGAACCAATGTGAGTGTTGCGCCCTGACAGTCCTGAACCGTAACGGAGCATTGTTATTCGGACCAGCCGACGAATGCGCGCGGCGCTAAAGCTGGAACCACATTCTTAAAATGGCCCGGCTTCCATCCTTGAAGCTGTTGCAGGATTCCTGTGCACGGATCGAAGGCGATAGCCACATTTTGAATAGAGCACGCCCTCCATCCTTGACACTGTTACGCATTTTCAAAACCAATGTGCGCGGCGCTACCGCGAGAGATACATTTTGAACAGGACCCGCCCTACATCATTGAAGCTGTTGTAAACTTTTGAGACGAAGGTGCGCGACGCCAAGGCGAAAGATGATGATTATGCTGATGCTTCTGCTGATTATGAGGATGCTGCTGATGATGATGGTGATGGTGATGGTGATGGTGGTGATGATGATGATGATGACGATACTCATGCTGATGATGATGGTGTTGGTGCTGATGATGCTGCTGATGATGATGATGCTGATGATGCTCATGATGATGATGACGACGATGATGATGATGATGCTGATGCTGATGACGATGACGATGATGATGTTGATGATGATGATGATGCTGGTGATGATGCTGCTGCTGATGATGGTTATGATGATAATGGTGATGACGATGATGCTGATTA